CTGTGTGTAGGGGTTGGTTCTAGCTTTGTTGTCTTCGGATTTTCTGTGTAGAGTCCTTTTCCCTCTTGTTAGGGCTGTATCCGATGACAGGTGGTGCTTCTACTGTATTATGCTTTGAGGTGATGTTATATTCTCTCTATATACTCACTTCTTCTCCCCGACCCTCCTCCCATCTCTTCCCTAACCACCGACCACCCCCATCTCTTTCCACTCTACCGCCACCTTTACTAACACCACAAACCTACCCAAACAACCACTCGACCTTCCCCTTGCCCTACCACTCCGCCAACACCACCATCGGCTTCGAATGTCATTTTACAACCTTAACCGGAGACTAGTCTGTTGTCGTACTCCCTTTTCCTTTTGAGTCTTGTTGTAACCCTATTTTTTATATTAATAAAATTTTGCTTTTGTGTACCGCTAAATTCTCACTAGTTCCGATATAATTTGGTATCAAAGCCAAGTTCATTGCCCCATCCTAGGGTTTCTTAGTGTCCGCTCCGCCCTACCCAAACCACATGTACCACATTTTTTCCTCCCAATTCCCAACCCTAGCCATGCCACCGCGGAGAGATACATAGGATTCGACCCGGGAAGAGATTCAACGAGAAATTCATTGTCTGCAATAGAGACTAGCAGAGTTGGATGACAGAAATGAGGATGAGGGTGCCTTCGACCGTGATCGGGGGAGTTGAAGAGAAGATATGGATGAGGAGTTGAATCTGTTCCATAAAGAAGATCACAATGATGAGGAATATCGACTATGCCGTTTTGGTAACCAATATCAAAGGAGGTCGAGAGAGGTATTCCCTTACGGAGGTTGGGTTTTGGCATCAAGATGAACCTCTCAGAATTTGAGGGAAGTATGGACCCCGATGTGTTTATCAACTAGCTACAATCAGTCGAACGAATTTTTAAGTATAAAGATGTACCAGAGGACAAATGAGTCAAGCTAGCTGTCATTAAACAAAAAAAGAATGCCTTATGGTGGAAAAATCTACAAAGACAAAGGAGGAGAAAACAGTGAGAAGATAACTAAGTGGGAGAAGATGAGAAGACAATGCAAACTAAATACCTCCCACCCCAGTATCGCCAGGAAATGTTTCTAAAACTCTCCAACTTACAACAACATGATCTTTCAGTTGTCACAACCCAATTTGACCACTTGCAACTAAAATGCGAGCTAACGGAACAAGAGGAACACACGATAGCCAGGTATCTTAGGGGTCTGAAACCCGCCATTAATATTGTGGTACAGTTGCAACTATACTAGGCATTAGGAGACGTCCAGACACTATCCTTGAAAGTGGAAATGTAACAGAAGCAAAGCAACAACAGTCGCCCTTCAGATCACTCTCTTCAGTTAAGCAATCAACTGCAACTTCTACAGCCTTTAAAGGCTCCTCAGGAGGAAATAACAAAATTGGACAGAGAACTGATAAAACAGATCAGTGTGGGAAGAAGTCAGAGAAAGGTGGCTCCTCCAATATAGTGTCGACCAGGAAGTGTTTCAGGTGCCATGACTATGGTCACATAGCCTCCAATTGCCCAACAAGTCGATTCGTCACACTCATTGTTCATGGTGTCGTCGAGGAAGTCGATGAAGAGTCCGAAGATAGTCCAGAAAAAGAGCTCCAGCTCCACGAAGGCGAGAGAGAAGCTTTGCTCGTTCGACGAATACTGCAATCTGAGCCAGAACGAGACTAATCCTGGCTAAGGCATATGATTTTTCACACCATTTTCATTGTTAAGCGGAAGGTCTTCAACTTGATCATCGATAGTGGGAGCTGCTAGAATGTGGTTTCCAAGCTTATGGTGTAGAAGTTGGGATTGGACACATAAACATCCCCAATTATATTCTCTTACCTGGTTGAAGAAGGGAAATGAGATACATGTGGATCAATAGTACCTTGTTGATTTCTTCTCCGTTGTTCAACTACACGAATAAGCATGGTGCGACGTGGTTCCTATGGATGCCCACAACATTCTATTGGGAAGGTCTTGGTAGTTCGATCACAAGACTCAACACGACGGGTTCAAGAACACTTATTCTTTCAAGAAGGATGAGAAATGTATTGTTTTACTGCCTGCTAAGGATGCATAAGACGGGAATGACATAGAGACATCATTATTTCCTTGAATCATTTTCCTACAGTCAGTTAGAGATGCCACCGTAACACTAGCCTTAGTCCTTCTAGAAGGAAGCGTGAAGGAAAGAGAAGTATCAGCACTACTGCAACCATTATCGCAGGACTTTCAAGATGTTATGATTAACAACTTACTAGAGGGTATACCACCACTGAGAGACATCCAACATGCCATAGACCTTATACCAGGATTCTTATTGCCAAACAAACCATCTTACAGATTGAGACATGCGAAGTATGAAGAGCTATAGTGATAGGTGCATTATCTCATCGCGAGGGGGCTAGTCAGAGAAAGCACCAGTCGTGTGCAATTCATACCCTAATGGTGCCCAAAAAAGACGGATCGTGGTGAATGTGCATCGATCAACATGATTACTATCAAGTACCAATTTCCTATACCTCGCTTGGATGATCTCTTAGACCAGCTATACAGAGCCACTATCTTCTCTAAGATTGACTTTGCGCAGCGGGTATCACCAGATACAAATGAGACCAGGAGACAAGTGGAAGACAATTTTCAAGACACGAGGTGGACTTTATGAGTGGACTGTCATGAACTAGGTATTTCAGTCTTTAATGGGATTGATGAACTAGGTATTTCAACCTCACATTGGAAAGTTTGTCTTAGTCTACTTTGACGACATTCTTATATACAGTCGATCAGAGAAGGATCACTTACATCACCTGAAGGCAGTATCCGAGGTGCTGCGATTCAAGCAACTATGTGCCCATCTGAAAAAATGTCACTCCATGAGTAACTAAATATGCTTTATGGGTTATATCGTGTCTAGTGCAGACATCCAGATGGATCCCGCAAAGATAGAGACCATTATTTGCTGCGTCGCATCACAATCATTCACTGAGTTGAGATAATTTTTGGGGCTAGCATCATTCTATCAAAGATTCATCAAAAAGAACAGCACCATCACCACCCCTCTGATCGAACTTCTGAAAAAGGAGTTTGCTCGGACAACAGCAGCCCATGACAATTTTGACACACTGAAGAAAAATGTGACTCAAGTGCCTGACTAGCATTACCGGATTTCAACCAATTGTTTGAGGTAGAATGCAATGCCTTTGGCGTAGGGATTGAAGCACTACTAAGCCTGGGAGGACACCCTATTGCTTTCTTCAGTGAGAAGTTCAATGATTCAAGGAGGAAATACTCGACTTACGACAAATAATTCTATGTCATCGTAAGGGTTGTAGAGCAATGGAGTCATTACTTATTGACAAACGAGTTCACATTATTTACAGATCACGTGACCCTAAAATTTTTCAATAGTCGGAGCAAATTGAAGGGTTCACACGCCATCTACGTGAAATTTCTAGCCTCATTTAAGTTTGTGGCATATAATTACAACTCTCCTAGCATAATAAAGAATGACTAGGGAAAAAATAGTTGCAACAATTAAAACTTAACTCAAGAAATAAAGAATTATGATAAAATAAGAAGGGAATAAAAGAGAATAACTAAAATAGGGAACTCTTTAAAACTAAAATAGAACTCCAGAAGTCCACAAAGCTGAAACATGAAATTAAAATTATATGTTTTCTTCATTTTCCTGCCTGAATATTTTCAAGTCTGAAACGCAAGAAACTAAACTCTCCTTTCTTCAGTTCAAGGAAAGCGGTATGGAGAAATTTGATGTATGATTGGAGTTCTGCCACGTCAGAAATCAAAGCCAAACAATATGGAAATTGCTTACATTTACTGGGTTCCATCTAAAGGAATGTTTCGATTGCTGATTAATACAATAAAAAAAGTTGTCAAAGGATACGGCATATATGATTTTACCTTCATAACATCTTATTCGCATCGTTGTAGAACGCAAGAGGTAAAATGATGTATGACATATATTCAGGGGAATCTTTTTGGGAGGGGTCAAATTCATACAAGAAAATAACAATCCTCAATTTCTAAATATTTAGCTGTCCTTGCTGTTTAAGTTCTTGGTTTTGGAAAAATATGTAACTTTTTTGTGGGTGTCTGCTAGTTTAGTTGGCAGGATATCTGGAAGTTATTGAAAAGGTTTTGAAACTACATGTTGTCTACTTCATCTTTGTGTTTTGGCATTCACTATTCCATTAAAAAATTTCTCCATTCTATCTGGCCCCACTATTTCCTTTCATTTTCATTGAATGTTTTTTGCGACATTGACTTACATGAATTCCCCTTATAGTCTATCTTTAGATAGGAGTGAATAAAAAACAAAGAGGCAGAGTTGGGGTGCAACTTTTCTACACTGATGTCCTTGGCTGTTGTATCAAGCTGCATAGATTTTGGCTTTGTATCACAATTAGAGAATCTTATGTTGCTTCAACTGCATGCTTTTAATATGTTGACATTAAGAGAGAGAGAGAGAAGGAGAGAATGAGAGAGAGAAAGAGCTCAATAATTTATGTGATTGTATATCTGATCTGTTCTTTTTTACATAAATGGTGTTTCTATAATTATTCCAGTCTATTTTTGATAGTTGAGGCTTTGTGCATAACTTCATATTTTTGTATTACAGATCAGCTGTAGTAAAATTTTCAAGATGAATGCAGTTGACACGAATGCATTTGGATCCATTCAAATGGATTATCTGTACTTTGCATATCTTTGCTTTGTTTTGTAATCCCTAACCTTGCTTATGTAGTGCCGTAAGCTGATGATGGATGGAGAGAAGAGAGAGTTTGTCTGTGGTGGCCTTTTTTACGTATCCAGGGAGTCGCCAACATTTTATTTAACTTTAGTATTATAAGAGGATTAAGATTAAAAAATGCTGCTTTTATATAAATATACCTTTCAACTATTTAATTTATGTGGATTTAATTTCATTATACTTACATTCTTTGTCACTGTATTAGGAGAAACTCCTCGTGGACCTCACTGAGCGGGGCAGTCGGGCACCAAGCAACTGGGGGTCTTAGAAAAAATATTATATAAGGAGTCCTGATGCAATTTTGACTCCAATCAAAATGCGTCATGTGTACGGTCTGACCTGAGTGAATATGAAAAACTGAATAGTTTAATGAACCCTAAACCCTAAACTGTACACGTGACTCATTGTGATTGGAGTCCTGATGCAGTTTTGAATCAGTGCTTCTGATGTAATAATATTTTTTTAAAAGGCATGAAACAGAGCAGCATGGAGCATCTTCAGAAGAGATCAGAGGTTCTCACATCGTCAGTGCTAAAGATTATCAAAATGAGAAAATCTGAGGAGATATTACCGCACCTTTCCTTCATTCTTTTATATGCTTTCCCAATCCAAGGATTGATCTTTGATAAGAGCAATTATTGTCACACCTCCAAAATCAACAGTTATAAGTTCGTTTTCATATGATGCTTTATACATTTCAGGCATATTATACTGCGTCAGAAGTAATAACATCCCCTTTTATGGCGCATTTTATAAATGAACGGAGCATAATAAACTAGATCGCAGTGCAATATACTGCTGTCAATAATGCTTGAAGCATATCGGTCAATTCAAAACATTAATTTCTAGTAGATTTATTAGGTGAATTATCAATCCATTAGGAATTTTGAGTTGATTTCTCAATTCTATCCATGCTAAACAAGGATTATATATATATATATTGCACGAGTGATGCATCAATATTAAAAGTCATTGGTGGACTTCCATTCCCCTCTCACACATGGGTCGACGCCATCGAGTGATACTTTTATAGATTGCCTTAAGTAGATTAAATAAAAAATGTGTGTGGGTAAAGAAAATCCGTAAACGGGATCACCATTAAGTACATCAGTATCGGTTATACAACATAACATCGATTAACATGTAAAAAAGAAAAAGAAAAGAGTCTCGACTGCATCAATCTCTCATATAACATAATGCAAATAAAGATGCAGAAACAAAAAAAGAAAAGCGGAGTGTTACTTGACATTAATGTTCACCCCCTCGTCATCATTAAAAAACACATTCTTTAGCTCGCTCTCGATATCCACACTGTTATAATCTGAATGAGGGCCCTTTGAAGTCTGACTGGGGGTAATTCTTTTCATGAAAACCTCAATTCGACGCTGCACTGCTCAACCCCACTTTAAGACGTCTCGAAGGAGGCCTTCCTCGATGAAGCTTCTCTGTTTCTTTTTTAACTTAGCGTCAAGTACCTGGTTGCAATCCTCCTAAACGCGATCCTAAAGGATGGTCTTGAACTCAATCGAGTTCCTAAAATTCTCGATTGCTCTCTGCTTAACCCTGACGACTTTGACTTCCTTCTCAGATCTCAAATTCTGGATCTCTTCATCTGGGGTTGACGCCTTCAGCCATAGAAACTTTAAACTCTTGTTACTTTGACCAAGATCGGCTCGTGTCTCCACTAATGCCTCATGAGTGCTCTTTAGATTCTGACGCTGCAACGAGAAGGAAGTTGGCATCGTAGATAGATTTGTCCTGAACTTTTCCAGTTGAGGTTCCAAGCCTGCTTTTCTCTAGCTCCAAAATCATGTTGGGGCCTGAATTTGGCCTAGAGATACTTGTTCTTGATGAACTCGAAGTTTCAGTTTCTCAAAGCAAGGTCATTGCCTACCTGGAGTTCCATTATTTTATCGATCTAAAAAAATGGTTTGATGCAAAGAAAAATGAAAGAATTATGCAATAATAAAAGATTAAAAAACTCACAAAATCCTCAACATCCCAGAGCCTGATGCATGCATGAGCCAACATGTTCTCTAGGATATGAATCTTTAGAAGACCGGGCAAAGGATTACTTGCATTTTTGCTCCTCTTACACTACTTTTGAGGAAGTATCTCACAATCACTGCTCGGTAGGAACTGCTTCAGGGGTGCTGCAGGAGTTGACTCCGGGTGTTTCTTCTTAGATTTCATATTCACTACAAAAGATCACTTAGGATGGATGGAGATTCCACCTTCAATAAGTATTTTTCACTCACAAAGTCGTAGGTGTATTGCACCTTGAACTGATAACTATTGAAATCATCGTGTAATCATAAGGAGTTCCTTTGAAGCGATGTCCTGTATGACCTGAATACAATGAAAAATGTGTAAGGTCTGCTACACCAACGCCATGTAGTGTCAAATAAGCTAGGATTCTGACAGTATGGACGGATGTGGACAATGCAGTTAGTCCATGAAACTAATATTAGAATAAGATCTTAGAAAAAAAGTATACTCAACAGGTAAATTAATGAAATTAATAGATATAATGGTTCATAGAAAAATAAATATTTTATGCAAAGGCTAAGGATATTGATAATTTAGGTTTTAAACTTTAGTATTTAGATAGAAGTCACTCTAGAAATGGTGTAGGTGTAATTACGGATAAGAGTTTGAAAGATAATGTTGATAAAATTATTAGAATTAGAGATAAAATTATAGCCCTAAAGTTTGTTGTTTATAATAAATTTTTTAATGTTATAAGTGCTTATGAGCCCCAAATAGTTTTAGTTATATGTTCAAAAGAAAAAATTTAGAATGTCCTATAAGAATTAATCCAAATGATATCTCCTGAAGAAAGATTTTTTTTTTTTAGGAGATTTAAATGAACCTGTTGATAGTGGTAGAAGATTTTAGAAATACTCATGGTCACTACGATTTTGGAGTGATTAATGAAGAGAACCATATTAAATTTTGCTTTAGCTTATGATTTTGTTATAGTTAATATTTTATTTAAGAAAAGAGATGAACATATTATTACTTATAAAAATGGATCTAATAAAATAAAAATTGATTATTTTCTTATGAGAAAAAGAGACCGTGAGAATGTAAAAATTGTAAGGTCATTCAAAGTGAAAATTTAAGTACTCAATATTGATTATTAGTTCTCAATTTTAGAATGAGTTGTAAAATAAAAATGCAATGACTTGATCATATAATTAGTTGGGGCACTTAAAAGACAAATACAATTATTCTTATGAGTAAACTTTAAGTTTTCAAGATTTAAGATGTTTATGAAGAAGCTAATTCAATTTGGGATAAATGACAAAAACTCTTAAATAAGTGACAAAAGATTTACTTGAAGAATCAAAAAGAAAAATTTTTATAAATAAAAGCAGTTGGTGGTAGAATAATAATGTGAAGAAAAGGTAAAATATAAGAAGTTATGTTATAAAAATTAGTTTAAATGTAAAAACTTTGAGAAATAGGAAAAATATAAGGTGAGCTGTAGTCTATGATGATAATTTGTGTTATTAAGAATTCTATTTTTAGTGATCTTTCTAAAGAAAATGAAAAATTAATGCATAAATTAGTCAAATAAAGAGAAAAGCAAATTAAAGATTTAATTCAAGTAAAATATATTAAATATTAAAATAAAAAATTAAAAATTTTTAGCAAAAGATATTCAACATAGGTGCGCGAGCTATTTCGATAAATTTTTCTATGAAGTTTTTGAAAATACGATCAACCTTATTGATCTTACTTTCGGTAATAATAATAATATATATATATATATATATTTTTTATCGTCGCATTGATAGAATGTAAGTTAAGGAGGCTTTAAAGAAAACAAGTGTGGAAAATCTGTAGGAGCTGATGATATCCTAATTGAAGTGTGAAAATATTTATGAGACTTGATAATATCTTGGCTTACTAAACTCTTTAATGTTATTTTAAAAATTAAAAAGATGTGTGAGGAGTGTAGAAAAAGTATTTTAGTCCCCATTTTTAAGAATAAAGAGTATGTATGAGAACATACAAATTATAGAGGAATTAATTTAATGTTTCACACTTTAGAATTATAGAAGAGAGTAATTGAACATATGTTAAGACGTGATACAATGATTTCTCATAACCGGTTTGGATTTATGCCTGACATGTCAATTATCAAAGTTATACATTTATTGAGAGGTTTGATGAAGAAGTACATAGAGAGTAAGGAGGACCTACGTATCATTTTAATTGATTTAGAAAAATCTTACGATAATGTTCCAAGAGAAGTTCTTTGGAGAGTTCTAGAAAAGAAGGGTATTGATTTGACTTATATTCAAGTCATCAAAGATATATATACTAGAGTGGTTATTTGTTTTCAAATAAAATGATGATTGAGAAAGTATTGTTTTATTTCAGTTGGATTACTCTAGGGATCAACTATAAGGGATCAACTTTAAGCCCATATCCTTTTGCTTTTGTTATGGATGCTCTTATTGGTCATTTACAGGAGAATGTGCATTGGTGTTTGCTTTTCGTTGATAATATTCTTCTTGTGGATGAGACTATGGAAAAAAAGTTCAAGAAAAAAAAACTTGAGTTATGAAGGTCTAAATTGGAGTCTAAAGGCCTTCGTTTGAGTAGATCTAACACTAAATATTGGAAATGTAACTTTAGTAATGGTAGTTATAGTGGCAGAGTTATAAGTGTGTGATCAAATCATTAAAAGGTGTGAACGCTTTTGATATCTCAGGTCAGCTCATATGAGGATGTTAATGGTAACTCAAATTGGTTGAAGTAGAGGAATGCATCAAGTCTATTGCATGTAGAAAAGTACTGCTTAGACTTAAAAGGAAATTTTTATAAGTGGGCGGTGAGACCTCCAATGCTTTATGGCGCATATTGTTGGTCTTTAAAAGAGAAGCATAAAATAAGTGTTGAAAATGCTTAGGTGGATGAGTGGCTTGACACTTAGAGACAAAATGTGGAATGAATCTATCCGTACAAATGTTGGTGTTGCTCCAGTGGCAGACATGATTAGAGAGAGTTGTCTTAAATGGTTTGTTCACATTAAATACCGACTATCTGATGATCTAGTTAAGAGATTATATGCTTTAGATTCGACTTATGTCTAGAAAGTTAGAAGTAGACATAAAAATACATGTGCACATTATATAAAAATGATCTTAATTTATTAGAATTACATGAAGTATGACACTTAATAAGATACAATGGAGAAAAAAAATTCATTTAGTTGAACCTACTTAGTGGGATAAAGACTTATGGATATGCAAAAATAATGAATTTATAAGATCTTGGCTGTTATCTATTTTTTGGAATTTGTGTCATAAAGTTCAAACATGAATTTCTAACATTTAATGCTTCAATGGATAATTTTGAAATTTAATATATTTTAAATAATTTTATATTATTATTTTTTAAACAAGCCGACTGATGAGCTAACAAGTCGAGTGGGTGCTGGCTTTAACATGACATGTTAGCTCATCCAACTCAGTTCACGAGCCATTTGTCGAATCAAGCTCGAGCTGGCTCACGAGTCGGCTTGACTCACTTACACCCCAAATCCCCTGCCTCCCACAATATAGACCCACATCAGAAGATTAGGAGATTAACTCCACCCATTGCTCTTTAAAATGAGCTCAACCATAATCAATATCGAGTTGCGCAAAGTCATGGGCGGTGGCCTTGTGCTCGTACCTATTGACGACTCATTTTCAAGCGAACGAGCTAAATTGAGTTAATTAGAACTCAATTTGAGCTGAACACAAATTTTACAGTCTCACATTTGATAGAACTCGAGCCAAACACAAAGAGATATTAGGCTCGATCAAATTCAAATTCAGCACTTTTACAACTCTAGTCATTCTCTCATCTAATTTGGGCCCTAATTTAACATTTTAGATATTACCTCTTTAAAGTTTAAGCCACGTCAAAACTTTAAATTTTGAATATATATATATATATAGATTCCCACGGTCGCGCCTGCCGCAAATGACCGCGCAGTCGGCTCCAGATTTGACACGTGATTCGCGGATATGCCCTATTTTTAGAAACCACACAACCCGGCCCGGCCCGACAAAACCCATCTAAAGCTGATGCAAAATGCTTTACAATTCCCGCATCAGGTCCGCCATCCAATCCGTCTAATCTAATGTTCTAAATCAATCGGGACCGTCCAAAAAAATTGCACGCAAAACATTCGTTTTTTATTTGGAGAAGATCCGTTATCTCTACCCACCTATAATACTAACAACTCTCTTTCTGGAACCTGCAGCTTCTTCAAATCAAATCTAACCCGTCTTCCTCTTCTTCTCCTCCTTCCATCCTCGTTCCCTACTGTAATTTTTGTGAATGGTGGGCGACTCATTGATCTCTCACTCCTTTTCTTCGTCGAAGAAGAGGGAATCCTCAACGGCCGCCCCTTTCGCTTCCTGCATGCAAGGCTGGCACCGTCGCTGCATAGGCCTCGACCCTTAGATCTGATTCATCACCATTACCTTCCAGATCTGAAACCATTCTGATGTCTTTTCAGCGCCAGCAGAAGATGGGGCCGATGAGACCGGGAATGTATAAGAAGAAGCTGATGCAGGGGAGGAAGGGTGGAGGAATGGGGGAGATGGATCGGTTTCTGATCACGGTGACTGTACCGGGTAGTGCTGGGGCGATTCGGTTCGTGGTGAGGGAGAAGGAGCTTGTTGAAGTGGTTATTGGTACGGTGCTCAAGTCATATGCGCGAGAGGGTCGGCTGCCTGTGCTTGGATCTGATTTAAATGACTTCCTCCTTTACAGCGCGCATGACGGCTCTGAGGGTAATGTTTTATTATGTAGTTTTTTTCTCTTGATTAATAGATTTAAGTAGAAAAGCAAGCGTCCACTGCTATTTCGTTTAAATTCATTACCAGAAGCTGGATAACTTAAGCCATTGATCCAATACGATGAATATGAGGATAATAGAATAAGTTTATGATTTTCAGATCATTTGGTGTCATTTTTGGGCTTTTCTGGATTGCTTAGGGTTTTCCGAAATTAAATGATTTGATTCGGACTGAGAAAATTTTTGGACATTGATATCCTAGATAAGGTTTCTCTTAATATTCAGATTAATTTCATAAACTTAATTTAATTTAGATTTGATGAAAATTTTATGCATCCAGATTCATTTTACCGAAAGCTCTGCTCAAATCTGGAGAGAAATTAATCAATTCTGATTACTGAATTAAACATCGTTTTTATCATTTCATTTCTATGCATCTGATACTCCCAGTAAATGAAGATAAATCACTATATGTTGCAGCTTTGTGTCCGTGGGAGACTATCGGTTGCAGCGGGAGTAGGAACTTCTTACTGTGCAAAAAACAGGGTTTGGCTACTGCTGAAAGGTCGGATACGCTTCTGACTTCGAGGCACATTGAAAAGAAAGGAAAGGGTGGGTGGAAGGCTTGGCTCAATAAGTCTCTTAGTTTCAGAATCTCTCCCCGCTGAGCGGTAGTGTATTTTATGGCAATGCTTTGCTTGGTCTGTTCCTCTTTGTTTCTTAGATGCGAGGATGACTTTAAGTTGTCTTTCATTGAAACTCTCTGGGATCCAAGTTTTGTAATTTGTGTTTGAAGGTATCATTTTGCATTGAGATTTAGTAATATGGTGTCATTCTTGAAGGATTAATGATCTATGATTTATCATTAGCAAGTGGTGATGATTGTCATCTTGATATTTGCATTTTTAAAGCATAAACCATGTTCTTTACAGTTTGCATAATGTAGAGATTGATGAGTTGGTAAAGATTTTTAATCATGCATTGGTTTTAGTTGAAGTGTTTTAAAATGTTTGAGAAATAAAAAGCATAAAACTAACTTCTTGATAGTGAGGGAATGAGGCAACTACAGGGATGGTGGAGCTGTTTCGTAAGTAAATTTTATTGAAGTGAGATTTAGATTTTGGTTGATTTGTTGGCATATGTTATGTTGAGTCTTGTTAAGTTTGTTTTATTGAAATGAGGTCCTCGAAACTAATCGACTCACCAATAACTGCTAGGTATTGTCATAAACATATTTGGTTGGTTTTGTTGCATCTAAATATATCCATGGTGATACCTGATCTCTACTAATAGAGTTCATGAAATCTTGGCAGGTTGAGAGTAATAGATAAGAAAGGTTAGAAAAGAGATCCTAGAAAAGAAGAGAAGCATAGAAGAATTTTATTCACAACTCAAATACTTGGAGTACTGTAGATTTTATTATAATTCAGATTGTCTCATTGACCTTTTATTTATATAGCTTTAAGTACTATAAAAAATGCTTTAGTTTATCTAATAAAATAAATAAATAAATAAATAATTTGATCATTATTGACACGTGACGTAATAGTCAAGATCATAGAGAGTAAATGTGGATGGCTATCGTGGTGAGTACTTTGAAAGCTTTTGTGATCAATTAGATAGAATTTCTCACTAAATTGAAAAAGCGGGATCACTCGAATTCTCCTTTACCCTAGGTGAGTACATCTAGGCTAAAGTGAGTGTCGCTTGAGCTGGGTGAGTACCTCTAAGCTACGTGAGTGTCTTTGAGCTTGGTATACACATCTAAGTTAGGTAGTTTTTCCTTTCACAAGACCTGTGGTACTTTGAGGTGAGTTCTTCAAGGACTAACCATATGGTTCTTTGATCTATCAAGTCTCTTGTAGTCATTCTAAAGTGCACATTCTAGGTGTATATTTAATTTCTTTTTTCTCTTATATCTTTTGGAGTATTATTTAGAAAAAAAGATTAAGAGAATTAGATGAGATATTATTATTTTTTAAGTAGGAGAGAACCAAATTTTTTACTATCTTGTTTTAGTAATGGGACGAGGAATAACACATTTATTTAGCGCTCATATTTGCGATGATGATGTGAATTTCCTATATGTCAATGATTGTGATCATCTATAAACAAGTTCATGACTCTCTCTCATAATTGCTTATTTCTACTTGACTTCTTTGTTTACTGAATTTATGTTTGCCTATTAGCAATGATTGCATTGTTTCCCCGATGTATTACAAACATTGCCAACTATGAGTTGCCAAATTATTAAGCTCAAACAATTTCAAGTATAGAATGTTGAGCATGAGCCAACTTGTCCTATTGAAGTTGATGTTATAGACCCTTAGGCTAAGGGAAGTGACCAATAGTGAGCCATTGTGGAAGCTAAGGTTGCTCTGTTTCGATTACTAAAAAGGGTTACCTCAACAAGCGCTGTGAGAATGTTTATGAGTGGGCTTATGATGTATCTAAGTTTGAGTGAACTTTTGAGTTATTGACTTGTGGGGTCAAAGGATATAAATCTCACAGGTTTGGTCTTCGATTCTTGCTTTTGGATCTATGATGGTGACTTATTGAGGTGCCTCTTGATTATTTTTTGAGTAGATAGTTTCCTCTTTTTAATATTTCCATTAATACAATAGGGGCAATTTAGTGAGGTAACGTGAAGGTAATCTAGTGGATCAACTTGTCATGATCATTGTGGGAACTTGCTTCGTGGTTGGCTCGAATACAAGCATGCTAGGTGGGTTAAGCCCAAAAAGATGTTTTAAACTTGTAATACTTCTCCTTCACTGTTGCTCAAGTATTAGAGATTTGCACTACCCCTTTCATTTGATAGCTTATTAGCTAAAGTTGTCAAGTTGAGGGAATCAAGCCTCCATGAGGGAGTTTGTGCATGCTATTGAGGAATAACTTTTTAGTATTGGTGGGAATACTATATATTACAAGGATAAATTTTCCTCTTTGATGAAAAGAAGGGTTTCTTCACCTATGGCAAGTTCATCACTACTATTCACGCAGAATCCTAAGAGTTAAAGGTGTTGAATTCATAGCACTTGTAGATTCATCGTCTTCACCTATGGCAAGTTCATCACTACTATTCACGATGAATTCATAGCACTTGTAGATTCATCAAGTTTTTTTAAATCTAATCAATCTTACTTGGCAATGCTGACCCATAAATCCTAAAAAGTTACATCATCTTATTAATGTGGATTTTTTAGGATTTATGGGTCTATATTAAGAAGAGATTTTTCCCATTCCTTACATGTATAAGATATAGTTTATTTTAATTCTTGCGTATGATATATGTACAAGGGCAAATTATCATAGTTAATTACATCACAAAAGTTGTGGACTTTCGAGAAAATTTTTGATTAATGTATTATCATTTAGGATTTCAAGGTTGGATATTTCAAAGATTGACATTTTAACATTGAAGGTTGGATTCAAGATTTGGTGAGGTGATTTGCTTATGGAATTCAAGGGTTAGGACTTACAGTATAGCGACGATGTATCGTGAAAAGACTCGGGATAGAGATTAATCAACTCTAGGAAAAACATGTAATTAGGGATTAAGATTGAAAAATCTTTGATGGAGTCATGTCTAATAGAATTAAGATGGAGTCAAAAAGAAATTCAAAATAGAATGGATTTGTTAGATTTGAAAAAGGATGATGAAGAAAAGGTTTGATATGAAAGGGTTTAAGTTGATTGGTTTGGTTTGAAAGAGTTGAGTTGATGGTTTTAGCTTTTAACTTGAAGTTTGATTTGAAGGTTTAATTTGAAGATTTTAACGTGAAAGTTGATTTAAAGGTTTCAACTTTAAGGTTGACTTGAAGGTTTGGAAAGATTTCTAGATGGAAGTTGAGAGCCTATCCTTTAGAAAAATTTAGACTCTATAAAAAGACTAAGGCTATGTTTGGTGTGACGGTGGCGAGCTGGCGTGGAAGAATTCGACTGAAAGCTGGGTCGCGGGTTATAACCAGCTGCCTGCGTTTCGAAGTGAATATTATCGCTTTTCCCCTCCCGCGCACCCCCTTCTACGGAACGCCATCACTGGCGAATCCTACATCCAAATAAGGGGAAAAGGAGGAAGGTAGCGGATATGGGCGTACGTGATGTCAAGGGCCGAGCTGACTCCCCTCTTTCCGGAGGCGCGCTGACGGCCATCCACTTCTGGGCATCACGGTGCGAGGCGTCAAAGCAGATGGATCAAGTTTTCTCCCACCACCGACTTCCCTCACGTTCTCTTCTTACGGGTGAGCCCTTTTCTGCTACATTTTTCCCGTTTTCTCTTTCGTTGCCTGCTTGCGATTGTTTTTGCCTCGTTATTAGTTTTGATTTTGTGGGATTTGGTGTTCTTTCTCGTGCATCCCCGTTTTATTTATTTACTATATATATATATATATATGTCAATCTTCTTGCACAAGGTGTTTTTGCCTCGTTATTAGTTTTGATTTTGTGGGGTTTGGTGTTCTTTCTCGTGCATCCCCGTTTCATTTATTTACTATTTTTTTTTTGGGTTTGAGAGGGGCAAAAAAGATGGTTTGGGAGGGGCAAAAAAGATGGTCGGAATTAAGGCTGTGACGGTTGCCAGGGTGATCCTATGCTTCCCTCTTCAGGAAAGTGACTTTTCATTTTGAAACAATAGCCTGCTATGCTTTCACTGATTGTGCAGTTAGGTTTGAGTGAAATCAAGGCTGTGACGGTTGCCAGGGTGATCCTATGCTTCCGTCTTCAAGAAAGTGACTTCTCATTTTGAAACAATAGCCTGCTACGCTTTCACTGATTGTGCAGTTAGGTTTAAGTGAAATCAATCTGATTTCTAGTTTATTTCATTCCATGAGATGTTGTATAGATATGTGGGATTCTAGTATTCATATTTAGTTGATCCGACTTTGAAGTGGTTTATAATACATTACACACATTCAATTATGACTTGATTACTCTTCTTTGATATATAAATTGAAAAAAAAGTTAGTTTTTTATAAAGCCATTAAATTAGCTTTGAGATAGGGTATTACAAGATTTGTCAATATAAATTTGTATTCCAATAATTATATTTATTACATAATTAACACTCTGAAGTTTCACTAATTTATTACATAATAAATTTTACTTATGAAGTTATAAAATTTTACTGTTACAGTCTTTTTTTAAACAGTTTTACCAAACAAGAGCATAATAATTATTTTTCCAGAAATAGCTGCAGAACAGTTGTTTTCGTACAGCTGCACCAAACAGACAGCTAGCTTCATCGCAGCTGCTTTTTCGCAGCAGCTTCCTGGGGCAGTGCAGCTGAAAAACTGAGAAGCTGCAACTGCGTCAGACAGAGCCTAAGGTTCCGTTTGGTTCAGCGTCCGGAGCGCAGTGCGGGGAGGGGTCGCAAATTTCGGCCGTTTGGGATGGCGTTCGGAGAGCCGTGTTCCACTGTTTTGGTTAAACGTCGGCTGTGGATCGAGCCCCACATCCCGCGTTTGAGGGTTGGTTTTTTACAAATTGTACCCCTCTGCTGTTCAACCTTGCTGTTCGACCCTTCTGTTTGACGTCACTCCTCTGCTGTTCACTTGAACGCATCAATCGAGGCTTCAGTGCCTAATATCTTCGACAGAGAGGAGGAGAGGTGCTGCGATTTTCGCCTCTCATGTAGCCTGTATGATCAAGCCGAGAGCTTGAGAAGGAAGAAAAGTGTGAGTGCTTTGTCGTGTTGGTCACAAAGGAAGGAGGCGATAACCTTACTGTGCGACTTGCAGAGGAGGTGGGTTCTCCATGCCGCGCGGCTCGCAGAGGAAGGAATATGTCTGATTCATATATTTGTGGACAATGCACGATCTTATAAGGTAAGATCAGCTATTA